CAGCCGCGATTATAAAATTTTACCTAAATGCTCTATAATTGTTGATTGTTCTGAGATTTTTATTGAAAAACCATCTAGCTTGGGTATAGATGCAATTTCTTGGTCAAATTACTGTAAAATATTTAGATTTCCTTATTTTTTTTCATTGTTATGGCAGAATCTCTAGTTATATTTGTATTTTCAAAGGTTATGGACTATTAAAACACTTAAAACCTGAAGATAAAGATTTGCAATTTTTTTTCCTCTATATAACTTGCCCATTAAAGCTCACAAATCCCATTTTTGTCCTGCTAATTGTTTGGGTAATGTTTGTTGTTATTTGTGTTGTAGTTGCTTGTTATATTTGTTACTATTTATCGAGTGATTTTTTTTTGTTGTTGTTTTACTATATTCTTTTTTTCATTTTTCTGATCTCATGTGTTATTCATTTATTCTCGAATCCGATAATCCATTCATTTCGTTTTTACTTTTATTTTCTTGCATTTTCAATGATACTATTTTTCTTGAAACCGATTTATTAATATTTAATTTTATTTATTCTTTTTATTTGTTCGTTTTTTGTTTTATTTGTTTATTTTATTAAGGTGTCACTCCATTGACTAGTTTGTTACTATACAAGTGAGACCGAATATAGTTTTATAAAATTAAAAATGATATATATATATATATATATTCATAAATATATATATATATATATATATATATATATATATATATATATATATATATATATATATATATATACATACATACATATATATATATATATATATATATATATATATATATATATATATATACTCATATAGTGTCGCTTTAAGAGCATTTTAATGTAAAAAAAGTCTCTTACGACTACAATTTTAATTACTCGTCTCTTAAGCTGTTTTTGATTGTCGTCGAAATGTCAAAGCAATTAATTTATGCGGAAGTACATTAAATTTAATTGTTTTTTAACAAATTTTTAAAAAACCGCAATTATAACGACTAGAAAGTTTTTTTTAATTAGTGGTGTTTTTGTTATTGATTTAATAAAAAACATTTTTTAAACATGCGTAAATGTTGCTACATCGACTATCTTATAGCTTGACTCGCAACTGAGTGCTGCTACATCGACTGACAAATAGCCTGACTCGCAACGGAGTGCTGCTACATCGACTGACAAATAGCCTGACTCGCAACGGAGTGCTGCTACATCGACTGACAAATAGCCTGACTCGCAAGGGAATGCTGCTACATCGACTGACAAATAGCCTGACTCGCAAGGGAGTGCTGCTACAACGACTGACAAATAGCCTGACTCGCAAGAGAGTGCTGCTACATCGACTGAGGGTTTGGTTTGGCCAGGCAGTCTATCAATTAAAAAAAAAAATTTAATTTTTAAAACTTTTTCTGGTCTGGTTTATTAACGCGCTCTTTAAAACTACAGTTTATGGGAAATATTTTTTGATGCTACGCAAGAGACATGCAAGACTATATATATATATATATATATATATATATATATATATATATATATATGTATATATATACATATATTTATATATATGCATATATATATATATATATATATATATATATATATATATATATATATATATTACGAAATGATTGAATTTAATATGAGCCATAAGGTATATAAAGAACCTTTTTGTATTCTAAGTTCAGTTATTCAATTTAAATAATTAATTATAAAATAGTTATATATTCATCTATAGATTTAAAACTTTATGATTATATTATTCAGCGTTCCATTTTTAGCCTCATCAAAATGAAGGTGGTTTAATATTTACATGATCATAAAAACCGAACACTAAACGATTTGATGCTGAAATTTAAAATCTATAGATAAATACAGAACTAGTTTATAATTATAAAAAATGAATAGCTCGACTCATTGCTCTCATGATTGGGGTAGGAGGGAGGGCTAAGATTGTAAGGTTTTGGTATTCCCAGTCTCCTTTTACTGTAATTTTTTTGTGAAGAATCTATATTCGTCTTAAAGAACAGAACAGTGATAAATTAGTAAAAAAAAATTATAAGCATTATTAGTGTGTATGGTGTTATGTGGAAATGTTACTTTGATTTATATAAATACACTCCTTAAACAACATTCTAATTTTGTGTTGTTCTTTATAATAAAGATTTAATTTTTCTAAAGATGAGACCAAAATTTACTTTCCTAATCTTTTGAGTACGAATACTTTAATAAAAAAAGAGAAAATGTAAAAAAAAAAATATTTCGAAAATCTAATTTTTAATAAATTTGTCTTTTAATCAATATTTGTAGAGAATCCGTCTATAAATATCGAAGAATCCCAGCATCCGTTAGTTATTGGGGCAGAATGTGAATGCATTTTTAAAGTGATTTAATTTATTGATGCAATGAATGCAAACATGTTCAGTGGCGGATTATCCATTAGGCAAACTAGGCAGTTGCCTTAGGCCCGCTTAAAATAAAGGCCTGTAATTTCGGATTTTGTAAGGGCGAATTCAAGAAAAACAGATCCGAAATGCCTAACTCCTCAACTGGTTATGTTATTCTTTCTTATAACGATGACTCTTAAGTTTTTTGTTAGAATCGAAAAACATGTTATTTTGGCCTAATCAAGTTTACTGTAAAATAAAATGGATAACTGTAATAAAAAAAAACTTGATTTATGCTGTTATAACACTTTCTTTTTGTTTTTTCTGACTAAAAAGGAAAGGAAACTATATTAGCTTTAGCTTTATTAAAAAATCGAAAAACTTTTAGAGGAGAATCGAAATGATCCTTTTGCGTCCAAATGTAAAAAGCTCAATTTCGAGCCCATTGTATTGTTATAAAAGTTTCTATTAAACAAAACGAATCAAAATATAATTAAAAACTTTCAACGCGCTCAAATAAAAAATGGATATGGATACGCTAACTAAAAATGAGATAAAAGTAGAAACTCTAGAAAATTTTTTGGAAATGTCAAAAGGAGAGCTGCAGTTTTATCTCAAACAGCGTGGTTTTACAATTTCCGGCAATCATAGCTCCTTAGCTGCTACAGCTTTAATGGCATGTGAGCAAAAAATTAAAGTGGTACCAAGTACTGAAAATGCTTGCAATAAATTAAATAGTGACTACGCAAATCTACTGAAATCGTTTAAAATAGATTTCGACCCGTTGAAAGCAAATGATTTTGTAGACGATATGCGACAATGGCCTGTTACAAATATTGGACAAATATTTGCTTTTATCATCGAAAGCAAAGCATTTGAAACTGAATACATTGGTCAGTACAAACTTAAAAAAGCATATTCATACTTTGGAAGTGGTTTTGTTGGCAAGTTGTTTAGCAAAAAAATGAACGATTATATTATGATACGTTCATCGGTCTCTCCTTCTCAACATATACGAGAAAAATCCCATCAACTTTGGATTTTGTTTAATGTGGATGGCAGCATTTGCACCGCGTTTTGCACGTGTACCGCAGGACAAAGTAATTGTTGTAATCACGTTGCTGCGGTACTTTATAAAATAGAATATGCGAACACTAAAGACATAACGAACCCTATTTGTACTGATAATATTTGCAGCTGGAACGCTCCGTCCAAAGAAATTCAACCAAGTATGGTGAAAGATATGAACTTTGTTAAACATAAAAGTGGTAAATTGCAGAAAAATCTTTTGATTTACAAAGAAAAAAATGATTTTGATCCTAGACCAGTAGAAATGCGCGAAATTACGGAAGTTGAAAAAAAACAATTTTTATTAAATATCAAGGAAGTTCTTCCTAACGCCGCTCTAAATATAATGTTTACCCCTCCGCCAGATAATGATGTGCCACTTCCGATAACAGAAATTGCTTCAGCAGCACGTAGTTGTTTCCCAACGGAGCTAAGCTGTGTGACTGATAGATTTCTTGGTATGCTGACATTTAACGACAATCAACTTCAAGAATTAGAAAAAGCTACAAGAAATCAATCACACTCAAACCAATGGTGGGAACAACGCAGAGGAAGAATAACATCATCATGTTTCTATTCCATTCACCAAAAGGTTACATCTCTTCTGAGAAGCCATGATAAAGACGTTAAATGCAAAGTTGCGCCACTTCTTAAGGCTATTGTCGACCCTGTTGAATTAAAGAATGTTGCACCTCTAAATTGGGGTAAAGAAAACGAAAAAAATGCTGCTAAAATATTTATGTCAACTGAGGGCGTAAGACATCAAAATCCTAAGCTAATAACCTGTGGTTTATTTGTGCACAAACCGCACCCGTATCTTGGTGCTTCTCCGGACAACATATTTCAATGTCGTTGTTGCCTAAAATCTTGTGTAGAATACAAATGTCCTTTTAGTATTCGGGACGAAGATATAAGCGTTTCATGGAAAAAAACGGATTTTTTGGAAATGGTTGACGGGAAAGTAGTGCTTAAAAGAAATCACAAATATTACACCCAAATAATCGGCCAAATGGCAATCACTGGTTATAAATCCACGTACTTCGTAGTCTATACAAAAAAAGATGTTTTAGTAAATAAAATCACGTTCGATGAAGAACATTGGCAGAAAGTGCTTCCAAGCTTAATTCTGTTTTTTAAAACGTATGTGCAACGTTACCTACTTGGATTTATGCAACTGTATACATGCCCATTGTGCGATAAGCCATGCTTAAATGAAAATGAATTTAAAAATAAAGAAGATAACAGCATTGATTGTGACATTTGTGGTCTTTGGTTTCATTGGGATTGTTGTGGACTAGTTCAAAGAACTGTTTTAAAAGATAGATTTATTTGCATTTTTTGCCAATAACTGATAAATCACAACATTGATTTATAGACATTACAGATATTAAATGTATTAAATTAAGCATTAATTTCAGAAAATAATCTTTTTACTAATCATTTGTTTTAATTCATAAAAGTATTAAAGCGAAAAACTATTGACTCAAAAGATATTAAAAGGTTTATAATGACGTGTATTTACTGCTAAATTATTTAAATTTATTATAAAAAACAAGAAAAAATGAGGTCTATATTTAGTTTTAGTAGTGTATTTATATAAGAAATAAAAATTCAGAAACAATATAAAAAAAAGCAATATAGTAATGTACAAAAAAAAAATTGTATCTTTATATATATATATATATATATATATATATATATATATATAAATATATATTTAAACAATTTAAAATGTATTCTACAAAAAGAGTGCTCAATGTTCTTAAAAGAACAGAGCAATTACAAATTAGTAGAAAATCATTATGCTAAGGGATTTTCTACTAATTTATATATACATATATACATATATACATATATACATATATACATATATATATATATATATATATACATATATACATATATATATATATATATATATATATATATATATATATATATATATATATATACATATATACATATATACATATATATATATATATATATATATATATATATATATATATATATACATATATATATATATATATATATATATATATATATATATGTGTGTATATATATATATATATACATATATATATATATATATATATATATATATATATACATATACATATATATATATATATATATATATATATATATATATATATGTATGTATATATATATATATACATACATATATATATATATATATATATATATATATATATATATATATATATATATATATATATATATATACTCATATAGTGTCTCTTTAAGAGCATTTTAATGTAAAAAAAGTCTCTTACGACTACAATTTTAATTACTCGTCTCTTAAGCTGTTTTTGATTGTCGTCGAATTGTCAAAGCAATTAATTTATGCGGAAGTACATTAAATTTAATTGTTTTTTAACAAATTTTTAAAAAACCGCAATTATAACGACTAGAAAGTTTTTTTTAATTAGTGGTGTTTTTGTTATTGATTTAATAAAAAACATTTTTTAAACATGCGTAAATGTTGCTACATCGACTATCTTATAGCTTGACTCGCAACGGAGTGCTGCTACATCGACTGACAAATAGCCTGACTCGCAACGGAGTGCTGCTACATCGACTGACAAATAGCCTGACTCGCAACGGAGTGCTGCTACATCGACTGACAAATAGCCTGACTCGCAAGGGAATGCTGCTACATCGACTGACAAATAGCCTGACTCGCAAGGGAGTGCTGCTACAACGACTGACAAATAGCCTGACTCGCAAGAGAGTGCTGCTACATCGACTGAGGGTTTGGTTTGGCCAGGCAGTCTATCAATTAAAAAAAAAAATTTAATTTTTAAAACTTTTTCTGGTCTGGTTTATTAACGCGCTCTTTAAAACTACAGTTTATGGGAAATATTTTTTGATGCTACGCAAGAGACATGCAAGACTATATATATATATATATATATATATATATATATACATATATATATATATATATATATATATATATATATATATATATATATATATATATATATATATGTATATATGTATATATGTATATATATATATATATATATATATATATATATATATATATATATATATATATATATATATGTATATATGTATATATGTATATATATATATATATATATATATATATATATATATATATATATATATATATATATATATATATGTATCTATGTATATATATATATTAAAACACACGCACACACACTAAATGTATATATATATAAATGACTTTTATCAATTTAACTAGAGATTCTGATGTTCAGTTTATACAGGCCTAGCTAATTCAAATGCATATATATATATATATATATATATATATATATATATATATATATATATATATATATATATATATATATATATATATATATATGTATATATAAAGTAAATCTTATGCTTTGTTTTCATCAATGCAAAGGGGGGGCATGAAGTTTGTTAATACAGCGCATACAGTAATAATATTGTCACATAATGGTAACAGTGTGACTGGCAATTCATTTTTTAATATGCGAAAGTTTTTCATACGCCCTATGGCTTGTTCCACATAAATTCGAACATTTGCAATTTTTGAGGTTTCTCGCACATCATTAGATGTCATTTGCAAATTTGTGCGTTTTGATGGAGGAATAGCTAAATTGCACTGGTAAAAAGCTAGTAGTTCTTTTATTTTAAAACCTCTATCTGCTATAACTTGATCTCCAGGTTGTAAGAATTTTAAAATTCCACAATCTTTAACAATAAAAACATCGCTAGCTCTTCCGCCATAACAATTTGATAAAAAAGAAATTGCACCATTTGGTGTTATTCCAACCAAATATTTAACAGTATAATGATGTTTATAATTTGACCAACAACTTGCAGCAGTATCCAAACTTGATGGTGTTTCGATAAAAAGCTCACTACAATCAATTATTATTGAGCATTTTGGGTAGTATTTCCTGAACATTGTTGGTAAATTTCTCTTTATATTATTTCTGTCAGGAAAATGTATTAGCCATTTTAATTCAAGAGAAAGAAGTTTTATCCAAGTTATAAATACTGAACTCACTACAGAAATAGATATCATGAAACGATGAGCAAGATCTTCAGTTAAAAGACCTAAACGTAAACGCATCATCACAAGAAGAAACTCCTGTTGCAATGTTAGAGATTTTAATGTTATTGTTTTTAAATCCCTTGGCGAAGATAAGTTTTTATTTGTATTTTTACTACCTTTCCAATAGTGCATTACATTTCCTTTCCTTTGTAAGTAAGAAAACAACATTTCAAAGGCATTTGAATTTGCAAGGCCTGTAAAAAACTGAACATCAGAATCTCTGGTTAAATCGGCAAAAATTATTGATCGTCGTATTGGTTCATTGCACTGAATAGATTTATCACAGTGTTTATTTTCTAAAGTTAAACTTGTTGATGAACTGTTTGCTTCTGATTCTAATATGACATCAAATCGTTCAAGTTTTCTTCGTTTTGTAGAAGATTCTTTTTCTGCATTACGAATATTCATGTATAAAGTTGGATTAGGAAAAGCAAAAGTAGGCTTTCCAAACTCAAAATGATTAGAGCAAACCACTTTATTATCAGAAACTGTAAAATTTATTAAACCTTTTTTAACTTGATTTACCCAATGCTGCCTTTTTAAAGAATCTTTAGGAAAGTAGTGAAATTTTAGCTCTGTTACTTGAGTTCTTTTAAATAACCTATCTGGATACCTGGAGTCGTTATTACAACCAGCAACACAGCAGCGGTAGTTTGGCATTTTAAATTTATATAATATAAATTTATAATGTATATATTTAATATATATTTAAATTTATATAAGTATAAAACACCAAATTAAAAATTTGAGTACTAGCAAATAAAAAATAAGTAGAAAATCTTCAGCTTTCCTTCACTAAATCAAACTACTTTGTTGTTTGTTTGCCCTGATTACCCAAGATGCATTTCGCAACCGCGAAAAGGTCTATTCAATTGTTACACGAATGCATAAAAAAAGTTCCAGTTTTTATGCATTCGCGTAACAACTAAACTTTTTTTTCTATAGGGTCTTTTTTTTTTAAAAAAAAAAAAATGATATGAAGGACTTTTTTCACAAATTGATGGCTGTAGCCCCCCCCCCCTTCACTTCAAAACCCGTGTCGTCAGCCCTACTATTAAGTAGTTTACTAAATAAATCAATTGTTTCTTAGACAAACCAATTGTTTCTTAGATAAATCAATTGTTTCTTAAACAAATCAATTGTTTTCTAGCTTCTTTCTAGATTTCAATAGTACATTTCATCCTATCCCATTTTTAGCTTTACATGGTCTTAGAACAATTTTAAGTGTATTTAGCAAAATAAGTCATTCTACTGTCATTTATTTCAACGAACTGTTTGGCAATTTATTCAATGTTGATTTTGTCGATTTGTTTTTTGTGTACCTGAACAAACATGATGTTGTTCAGGTGATTGCCTCCAATTTGTGACCTAACCCATGTTTTTAATCTCCTCATTACACTAAAGCTTGCAAACAGCATTATTAAGGTTAATAATTGTTGGTAGCTCCTTCAACTCAACTTTACTGCAGACTTCCTGAAATAGCATTAAAAATGCTACGAAATTGCAAAATAAAATAGTTACCTGGTTTAATGTTACATGGATTAATTCTATGAGTAGAAAGTTATATAGTGACTGTTTGAGATAAGTTGTTTTACTTTTTGATTAATTTAATCCTGAAATAGAACATTGCAGTTGCCCTGTTAATTTAAGTAGGTTGTGTACTGGTTTGCTTACTTTTATCTTTGTATTTTTTAAAACACAATAATGATAAAATAATAACTACAATTAAAACTATAAAAGAAGAAATTTACGTTCTATCTTACACAGAACAATTACAAAGTGTAATCATTTAAAAAAAAGAGATGGTATAATTGCCATATCAGCAAATCCACAACTATTTTAAAAAAGATCTATCATTAATTGTTTAAAAATTAAAATAACACTTTTACAAAATGGCTGTTTATTTTAACGTGTTTACTTTGTACTAATGAAATTGAAATTTGAATGCAAATCATCATTTAAAATAATACCAAAAGTGTCACTATTGTCATCCCAAATAACGCTGAAAATACAGATGTACAAAGCACTTATGACGGTTTAAAAAGCATAGCATATTTGTCATTAATTGAAAGCTTTTTAATAATGGTATTGTTGATATTAACCTTAATAACTGCATGGCTCCAAAACAGTGTGATATTAATTACAAAAACATAGAACAAAACAAAAAAGTAGCATGATTACAGAAAACATAAAATTACAATCTAATTTGCTTGGTTTTTTTGGGAAACTTTAAAAATTTTATACTATTCTAGAATGTTTTAAAAATTGGTTATTTACACCAGGCCTAGGCCATTTAGAAAATATTCAAAAAGGTTAGTTATTTGAAAACGTTTTTCTAAAGCAAAAATTGAAAAACGACTACTTTTTTAGTTTGTTTTAGACAATAAATATGATTGTAGCTCTAATAAATTAGGTCAAGAAGTTTGTTAGAAAACTCAAGATTGTGTCGATGGTGTTGGGTCATGAACAACAAGTAGAAAATTTTCTTCAATGTTATGTTCAATGCCAGCTACAGATTGAGTGTACAGATCAAAACTTTACGTTTTTTCATCATACCTGCTAGAGACCAATACATCAAACACTTTTAAATTAAACAAAATAATACCTTATTAGTAATTGTTGAAGAAACAGTAAATTCAAAATTCAATTAAATTCAAACAAATTCAAAATATGTTTGAAAGAGGATAATAAAAAACTGAACTTGAATCAAGTTTTGCTATTTAATTTTGTTATATTAAAAATCTGGTTTGGTATATTAAAACTATTTAAAAAAATTATAAAAAACTTAAAGTTTGTCCCCATTGTAATTTTTTTAAGATAAAAGCAATTTTAAAATTTTGAAGTTTTATCTTTAAACTTGTATATATGAAGGGTTGCCTTTATAATTTTATGACCATAATTTCCTCTTTACTGAATTGTGTTTTTGTTTCCTCATTTCACTTTGTTTTTATGAATTATGCAAGTTTTATTTTATCTATTCAGTTATTTTGCATCCTTTTTCTTATTGTTTAACCGGAATAATAGTGTGTGGCAAATTGTTTGTATTTAATCTCTTTTTTTATAAGCTTTTTTTAAACAACTTTACTTAGGTTTTTTGTACACTTTCTGATCTTGGTAAACGATAGTATTTAAGTTGAACATTTCAATCTTTTGATTTAAAATCATAATAAAAAATAAAGCAGAAGCATAGTACAATTAAAGTGGTTTAAAAATCTAGCCAGAAAAAGTATGAATTTTAAGATGTAGAACACTAGTTGATACTTTATCAAGCTGCCCAGCAAACATTTCAGCGTTGAATCAACGTTAAAAACCGGTCGCAAAAGATGTTGCGGAAACGTTGACAAAGTAATCGATTTTGCAAAGATATGTAACGTTGTTAGAGAGACGTTGATTAAACGTTGTAGTGTAACGTTGAAAAATCGTTACTAAAAGACGTTTTTAAGTATTGCTTTTTCAACTAAACGTTGAAAAAGCGTTACTTAAAAAGCGTTACTTTAACGTTGTTAAAGCAGTTGACTTTGCAAGGATTTGTAATGTTGGTAGTAAAACGTCGATTTAACGTGACTCAAAGACGTCGAGTAAAGGTTAAAATATAACGTTAAATCAACGCTCAAATGCGCTGGAGAAAATATCGCAAAATATTATTAAATGTGATTAAACTTAGCTATAATGTATATTGAATTTGCAAATAAAACAAAATTGTATGTTGAACTCTGCACTTGCAATATTTCCAAAGTCGATTTTTAATACAAATAGTAATATACAATGAAAAACATAAAAAATACACAATTTATTTATATGAAATTTACAATTTATAGATAAAAATATAAACATCTTTTTTGAGATTTATGTGTGTGAGTGAATTTACAGGATTTACGTGTGTGAGTAAAATTTATGTGCGTGAGTGGATTTACAGGATATCGTATCGATAAGCCAGGATATAATTGAGATACAGAATCTAAATCAAAAAATAAAACTTGTATCATTATCAATCTGAAAACAAATGTTTAAAAAATGTTATTGAATTAGTATGATCATTATTAAATTTAAAAAGTAAAATATATATATATATATATATATATATATATATATATATATATATATATATATATATATATATATATATATATATATATATATATATATATATATATATATATATATATATATATATATATATATATGTATATATATATATATACTAGGTTGGTTGAAAAGTTCGCGGAGCGGCACCTATGTTGCAGTAGTAGAAACAAATTTATAACTGTATTAAACGTATTCATTCTTCGTATGAACGCATAAAAAATTTCAAGTCGATATGTCATTTCAGTCTTTGTTTACAAGCTATTGAAATTAGACGTGTCATAGTATTTTTTAAAATGGAAAATATTGAACATCGTGCTGTAATAAAATTCTTTGTGAAAAAAGGTTTAAAGCCCATGGAAATTCATAATGAAATGGTAAATGTGTTGGGTGATGATGCTCCTTCAAAAACAACAGTATGCAAATGGGCTGCGGAGTTTCAACGTGGGCGTTCAAGCCTTGAAGATGACCCTCGCTCTGGACGTCCAAAAAGTGCTACTACTGAAGAAACGATTAATGCTGTGCATGACATGGTTATGGATGATAGACGATTGACCAAACGTGAAATTGCTGAGGCTGTGGGCATCTCAGATGAACGGGTATTACACATCTTGCACGATGAATTACGTCTGAGAAAGCTGTTGGCAAGATGGGTGCCGCATTCGCTAACTCTGGATCAGAAACGCACTCGAGTAAAACTTTCTCAAAAACATTTGGCCCGTTTTCAAAAGAATAAAACAGATTTTGTGCGTCGATTCGTAACCATGGATGAGACTTGGGTTTACCACTATGATCCGAAGCTGCGACAACAAACTGCAGAGTGGACAGAACCCGGTTGTTCAGCTCCGAAGCAAGTGAAGGCGTCAAAATCGTCAAAGAAGGTTATGGCATCAGTTTTTTGGGATGCGAAAGGAATTTTATTAATAGATTACCTTCAAACCGGTAAAACGATAACAGGTGAATATTATAAAAATCTTTTGGACCAGTTGGATAAAAAAATTCGTGAGAAAAGACCTGGTTTGCTGCATAAAAAAATCATTTATCACCAGGACAACGCACCTGCTCATATCAGCGATGTTGCAAAGGCGAAATTGGTCGAATTAAAGTACGAACGCTTGGAACATTCACCCTATTCACCAGATCTGGCTCCGTCCGACTTCCACCTCTTTCCACATCTCAAAAAATTTCTACGTGGAAAGCGTTTCTCATCACATGAAGAAGTCATTGCAGCCGTAAATGGGTATTTTGAAGGCCTTCCGGAATCGCACTTCAGAGATGGGATACATGAATTGGAGAATCGTTGGAAAAAGTGTATTGCTCTTTAGGGAGAATATACTGAAGAATAAAGTCATTTTTTGAATCATAAAATTGTTTTTTCATTTCCGCTCCGCGAACTTTTCAACCAACCTAGTATATATATATATATATATATTGTGATCGTCGTAATAACATAAAATAAGTAATTGTTTTTAAAAATAACACGACGTTTTTTATTCTTGAAATGTTTTGTAGTAAACAACTGGGTTGATATTTGACTAGGGCCGGGGCCGGGGCCGGGTTTGATAAAATTTAGCCGG